GGTGGGGGTGGGGGTTTAGGTTTGGTTTTGAGGGGGTTTTTGTTACTATTTTTTTAATAAATAACTTCACTATTTTCATCCCAGCTTCCATTTCTTTTTGCGGTACACAGGATGACAAAATTGAGGAAATTGCTACTTGCTATTTTATTTGTAATAGTGATTTTCAAATAATTAGTGGACTTGAATGTTACGACTATGTATAAGCATGTGGTGGATAGCTCTGTGAAAATGCATACACTAAATGTGACTATAAAATTGAAAAAGCAAAACTGTTACATGAAATCCTTCTCTTTAAAGGAGGATCTTCTACGTCTCAAGAAGCAGATGAGAGTGTTCTGTCAAATCTGTCAACACTACTTGACCAATGTAAACACTGCTGTTAAGGAACAGGTTAGTGACTTGTTTATCCTTGTAGTCTTCTAATATTATACTTCGAAAGCAGTTGAAAAGTTCCTCTTGCTAATATTTTTAGCGCTTATGTGGGAATGTGGTGTGTCTTGGTTATTTAGGCTGAATGCCCTTTGAGTGTGGATACATACTGTACTTGCATACTTGCCCTCTAAGTAATTTAGGTAGGATTTCAGAATCAATTTAAACTTGATTCTTTCTAGTAATTTTAGGCAGCATAAACTTTTATTCAAAAGGGTTTTTTGTTTGTTTCTTTAAACAATGACTGGGCAGGCGCACTGTAGAAGCCTTCTCGTTTGTAAGTTAGGTGGGAGACTTCCATTTCAAAGCTCTTGCTTACCATGTGGTTATGACACACACCTCCAATGGAGCTGATTGTAGATTCATAGACCTGGAGCTGGAAGAGCTAGGGACAGCTATTTAAAAGAGAAAAGTTATCTTTTTAGTTCTATCTTTGAATGCTTTTATGTTCACGCATTTGTACTATGATACATATGTGCCCATCCACTCAAGAACTGTGAAAACACCTTTCCTCCTCTTGCTGTAAACCTGTGAGGACATACAGGGGCAACTTTTCTGTTCCCCTTCACCATGATGCTGCATACAGAATATATTCCTCAGTTCTTCAGAGTCCCAGGATTTTGGGGATCTCTGAATCAGGAGAAAAAGAACGGGTACTTAACATGAATGTGTGTATGTGTTTATACATGCACACGTATGCACTGTAACCTAGGGGATTTTATTGTTGGGTATTTCTTTTTTGTGGTCACCCTTAGGTACACTCACACACTGGTCAACGGCTAACAGTATTGTTTAGAGATATTTGGAGACCATTCCAGCAAATGCTTGGAAGCCTCAACAATGACGTACTGCTCAGAAAAGATGTGACCAGTTTTCATTTCACCAGCTTTTTTTATAGTCAGTCCCTCACATAGTTGTTCTTTGTGGGGGAGAGTTTTAGCTGGAACTAAGTTCTTGGATATTTCAGACATAAAATATTTAGGTATTTAGTCCATGCAAGTAGTGCCTGACATTTCAGGCAGGAGACAGAAGTCCTGGCTTTTTTGAAGAAAAATGCAGGCATGGAGGTTTTTCAGGGTTGTTTTTTATTTTTCTTCTGTTTCAAAAAGAATTGAGACATCTTTGGAAATACACTCAGAACTCAAGAAAAGTAACAAGGTCAAACAAAAAGGTTAAACTGTAGGGGCTGAATCTTTTCCAGTCTGTGGTCGAATAGTTCTCTAGCCAGGATACTCACAGGAGTTTCAGGTTCCAGTGAAGAGCAAGGTTACTGATAGCAGGATTAATTCTAAGTAAATGCATTTAACAACCTTTACAATGCTAAAATGAAAAAAAATAAAGTATCTCTCTATGGGGGAAGAACCAAACTATCTTCTGGGTATACTTTTTAATTAAACAAATAGAAAGCCAGGAGCTTTTTTGCTGCTAAAGGTAATAATAACCTGGTTGAGCTTGAAGTTGAAAATCTGGTCCGCTGAGCCGCAAAACTGCAGCTTTTGAAACTCCTGCTATAACAAGAATATTCCTAGAACTGAATAGGCATGTTCTATGTTGGAGAGCTATATAGTGTCAAAATCACAAGGTGTATGGTGTGAAAGTGCGAGTAACAAAAATTACTGAAGCTCTGAGTAGGTCTCTTCAAAAGGCTACATAACTCTCAGACTCGGGAGAATGCTCTAGAAACTAGAACTGCCTCAGTCACATAGGATACAATAGCCATGGTTCTGCTTTCCTTCCCTAATACCATGAAAGGGCACAAGGGACTTCAGAGGAGCATATGTATTTTTGTGACCAGGAAATTAGTAATACTTGCTTTGAGGAGTTAGAGAACAGATCTGTTCGTTAAAATGGAAGTACTTAAGAGATTAGAGTGAAAGAGACGAGGTGCAGCACTAAGCAGTGTGTTGCCTTGGTCTGTTAGTTTGAAGAATGTCGATCTAGGTACTGATACATTTGAACTTTCTGGGGAGGTGGAGTACAGACATTTAAATCTGATGTCAGATGCATGAGTTAGCCAGCAAAATGAAGAAGTGGGTGCTTCTTTGGAAGCAAGACATACTTTAGGATTTAAAGGGATTGAATGACCTCAGCTGTTAGATGTTTTACAAATGTGATCGAAACAATTTAAAAAAAAAAAAAAAAAAAAAAAAAAAAAAAAAAAAAAAGAAAGAAAAAAGGAGACTGTACTATGGTTGGTGTCCAAAAAGTTCTCTAATGACCTAATGTAGTATCCGTCAGGCAGAATTTGGGAGTTTCAGGCTCCTCATGTTTTAATCTCACAATCTTTTGGTATTTAGTTGGCTTCATCTGTGCAATATTTTTATTTGGAGACCCAGTCTTCATACAGCAACCTCCTGTAAGAAACTATGCACATTTTGACTTCCAGTTGGCCTGTGTAGTTGTTTAGGACTTAAGTGGCCTGTATATGCCATTGGGCTCTATTTTGTTAAGTGGAAATACATTATTCTAAATAAAATCCAGTTTCCAAGCAAGTATTTACTAAAGTTTCTTTTTAATAGGCTTTCACAATTCTGTGTGATGTGTTGATGATCTTCAGTCATCAGATTATGACAGGAGGACGTGACATGTTGGAGCCACTTGTTTACACTCCTGATTCTTCATTGCAATCTGAACTACTCAGTTTTATTTTAGATCATGTCTTCATTGATCAAGATGATGATAATAATAGTGCAGGTTTGTACAAAACTTGTATTTCCTTTATATAATTTGCCTTCTAATATATTTGTTTACGTATGCTTTTTTTGTGGGTTTTTTTTTTCTTTTTTTTCTGGCAGTGAGAGGTGTGCATGGGGACAGAGGTAGGTTTGTCTTTTAAACGTCAGCAGCCGATTAAAGCGTTTTATGTTTTGGGGACATGTAGGATAATTGTGGTAAAGGTTTGGTTTAATAGGCACAAATATATATGTGTCTGTATCAGGAAATTGTCAGTGGGCTATGAAGTGCACTGCCGTCAGAATTGAGATTTGATTTTCTGAATCTTGCCCATTAGCCCACATCACTTTATATATAAATGCTTAAATGTGAAGCATTTAAACCTGACAGTTGTCATGTTCTGAACTCTTTTATAGATGGTCAGCAGGATGATGAAGCTAGCAAAATTGAAGCATTGCACAAAAGAAGAAATCTACTTGCAGCTTTCTGTAAACTCATTGTATATACTGTGGTGGAAATGAATACAGCTGCAGACATTTTCAAGCAATATATGAAGGTAAATCTGAAGCCTAGTAGTGATACTTCATAAAACTACTAGAATGCAGTAGCTGTGGATTTTTTAATTATTATTTATTTTTTGCCTTACAAGAGAACTGATTCGAAACATGAAGAATTCAAAACTCCAGAGTTGATAGCTTGAGGGCCTTTAAAAGTTCTTTTTCTGTAAGAAAAGAAAAAATGACTGAGATTAGTTTCACAGTTCCAGTGTGTGGGTAGCGGGGAGGGCGGAAGGAAACCTGGTAATTATTTTTACGTTGTTTTTAACAGATTTATTTTCTTATCCTGATTGATGGTATGTTTTTAATTCAGTTATTAGCTTAGCAGGCCTTTTGAGAATCTTCTCACAAAGATCAACTCCATTATGTCTAGTCTAATCAAATAATGTCAGCTTAGACTTTGTAGAAGAGGAAAAAACCAAAAAGTTTTGTGAGTTCCACCCACTGCCTGCCTGTCCTGACCCCATCTTCCCCGCCAAACCGCCCCCCCCGACCCCGGCCTAAAAGTGATCTTTATATCTGTTTCTATCTTACTTAAGTATAAAAAACCCTTCTTGGCTCCTGGGATTTACAGCTGTACAATAATACGAGTTCTCACTTTGAGAACATGATAAAGCTTTGCTCCTTGGTGATTACCTTAAAAAATTTAAAATTTGGGCAGCCTGCTTTTGTCTGTCTGAGTGCCCTACATATATTTTGAATCTCTAAGTAACTAATTGGGTCTTTATTGAACCTGAAACACTTAAAGAACTGAACAGGCAGCTGTCTTCATTGGAAAAATTATGGCTATGATGCTATCCATAAGTGCTTCCTTTCAGCAGAGAAAATGGAAAACTCCCCACCAGAATTATAGGAGTTACTAAAAAGATTAGATTCTAATCTTGTACCCTGAAGGGGTGAACACATCATTAACAAATGTGTCATGGCCTTGAAGATAAATAGGTCATTCTGCCTCTAAAGTAACACTAATGAGAAGAATGAAAAGTCGTCGACGCACTGTTTCTGATTTGAGTTTTTTTTTTTTATCATTTTGGAGGTGTTTTAGCATATCATTTTGATGATGTAATCATGAACATGTTAGGTTTTTTCCTTTTGAAAGTGTTCAAAAATTTTTTTTAAATAGCAAATCCTAGATGTTGTTTTCTGAAGAATTCAATAATGTTTTCAACTAAAATCAAGTTAACCTTTTTTTTTATTTTATTTTTCCTAGTATTACAATGACTATGGTGATATTATTAAAGAAACAATGAGTAAAACAAGACAGATAGACAAAATCCAGTGTGCTAAAACGCTTATTCTTAGCTTGCAGCAGGTAAGAATGATTTACAATATTTTTATGCATGAAATTCCATACTGTAGATAACGTCCTGTTATTTAATAGCTAGTGTGAGGTATTAATGAAGAAATTCTTACAGAAGGTAGGGATAAATAGGTCTAAATTGAAACACGTTTTCTGCAACTATTTGAAAAACTGCTGGAAGTCTTACTATACTCACCAAATCTTGTGCTACAAAAAGTGTATGTGAGAGGCGGATAAATACGAAATGAATGTAACTCTGTGATACCTTCCTAACTCTGAAACAATAGTTTGAGTCAAATATTCAGAAATGTGTTGTGAAACTGCTAGTTTACTTATTCAAGAACAGATAAACAAGGCAAAACAATTCCTGCCTGTGGGGTGTGGTTTTGTGTTTTTGTTTGTGGGTTTTTGTGTTTGTTTGTTTTGCTTTGGGTTTTTTTGTTGTTGGTTTTTGGTTTTGGGTCTTTTTTTTTTTAACTATTCTGAGAAGTAATGGGAAGTTTTAGTAATTCAGTATTTCTTAATGTTTGGTAGGGGCTTCACCCATCTTTGAAATTAAAACATGATTTAATGCTCTCTTCAGTAAATGAGCTTGTTTGTGTGGAGACCTGATGAATTCAGTCGAGGTCAGAGTCAGATTCATCTCCTCACATGAACCATTTGCATGAATCTTATTTACAGGATCAGAACAATAAAGCCATATCTCTGCAAACCACTGTAATCTAACATAGATCTCTGCTATTGTTGAAAGGAAAAATGCACCCCGATTTGTCCTCTCTCTCCCCACACTTTTTTTTGACTAGGGGTCATAGAGCCACATAGTGGATATAGATCTAGATATTGATCCTGGTTGAGAAAAAACCAGAAAAGGTCCTAATGAAGCCCTTAAGCTGGTTGATCTGAATGGATATTGCCAGTACAAGGGAGGATGAGGCCTTTCCTTTTGATAGCGGCATGACTTTAAGTAGCTGGTGGAACTGCAACATAAAATACACAACTAAATACTCCTACAGTTTTTGCTGACTTTTCACTAGAGTTCACAAATTTTTGTGATATTGGGTAAATGCTATCCTTATTAGTCTTTTCTGTCTCACGAATAATCAGCCCCTTATATTTTAAAGGGCAGACAGAGGAAGTGAATGTAGTAAGTACAATTATGCACGTAATAGGCAGGCAGTTACACAATCCTAATATGGCAATAAGAATAGTAACATGAGGGGACCCAAGTATTCTAAAACAACAACAAAAAATCCACATGTAAAGTTAAACATGTAACTAGCGTTTTTTTCCAGGAAAACTTCTTAAAAAAGAAACTAACCAGAGAAGAAATACTAGAAGTGATAGTGGATAAAGGGAATAACTAAGTTGCAGTGAGCTACACCAACATAAAAGAAAAATATGCAACTATGAGCCAAAATGTATCTGTAAATGAAAAGTTAATGTTCATAGCCCTAGTAAGTCTGGTTTTGGTTTACTCTATGTTATGTGAGAGAGTGAAGGGTGAGTGTGTTAGACAAAATTAGAAAATAATAGAAAAATGGACTGTTGAAGAGAATTACAGTCAAATTCAGCAGAATGAGAAAAGGATTGATCAAAGAAAAAAAAATTACAAAGTTCATAGTATTCAGCTTTGCCAGCTATTGATGAATAGTTAAAAGTCTGATCCTCAGTGGCAAAGTTTCTGGTGTCTTTGGCAACTTCCCTGAAGACATGTTTCCATTTTAGAATTTCTTCATTATACTTGTATTTTGAAAAGATACAAAAAAATGAATTGAAAAGTAGTAGTTTGACAAACTATAGTAGTAAAGACCAGGTGAGAATGTTTGTTTCTTCTCTGTTAGTGTATGTATCAGGGAATCCTACTAATTTTTAGTATTCTCAACTCTAGAACACCTCATTTAGGGAAGTGCTGAAATCTGTCATCCAACACATTTACAGTTTGACACGTGCTTGGACAGTGTGCATGTCAAGGATTAATTCTGAAGTGCAGACTCTTGAGGAGTAGCTTTGACTTGGCTTTCCTAAACCTCCATGTTTGTCTTTTGGGGTCATTGACTTAAGAAATAAAAGCTGTAAAATACTTTTTTACTGAAACTTAGCTCTGTGTCGATTGGTCCAAAGTTTGGCATAATCTTTTAATAAATGAAAATCTCCCTTTTCATTTCATACAGCTTTTCAATGAAATGATTCAAGAAAATGGTTATAATTTTGACAGATCATCACCGACATTCAGTGGCATAAAGGAACTTGCTCGACGTTTTGCTTTAACGTTTGGACTGGATCAGTTGAAAACAAGAGAAGCTATTGCTATGTTACACAAGTAATTGTGTGCTTTGTGTTACTTCCCTTTTTGTAAACACTTCTTGACTAATGTTAAAGTATCTTTTCAGTCTTTCAAAATCAGTTTGTTAATACAAAATGCATCAGCACTAGAGACGATACAGCCCATTTATAAATTAGGAGATGACTGCAGTTTTGTCCCTGCATTAAACCCAAATGTTAAATAAAATTGATGTTCTTAGCATCATTGTATAAGCCTGTAAATGATAGCTATCATGAAAAAGTATTTTTAATGTCTTATCCATAACAGTAAGAACTGATCCACTTCATTGTCAGTAGTGGTCATGTTGGCCTCATGCAGAAGATTGAAATGCAGGGTAGAAACATCATGACAGAAAGAGCGCGTCCAGATTCAAATTACGAATAGTGTTCACTTTTATTGCCAGAATATGGAAACATCAAATTATTGCTTTCTTGACATAGAGGAAAGGTGTTCAGTTTTGATAGTTCCCAGTGTTTAGAACTTTTTCTTTAGTTTGTGCTTTATGTGACTTAATTTTTAACTTTTTCTTAGGGATGGCATAGAATTTGCTTTTAAGGAGCCTAATCCGCAAGGTGAGAGCCACCCACCATTAAATTTGGCATTTCTTGATATTCTGAGTGAGTTCTCCTCCAAACTTCTCAGACAAGACAAAAGAACAGTGTAAGTATTTTCTTAATATTTGTAATGATAACCATAAAAGACATGCATCTGAATAAATACGTATTTATGTGTATTGCATTCACCTAAAGTGCAATCTTTGGCACATAAGATAATTTTACACTAATGCAGTCAAATATAATCACAAAGGGTAAATTATATTTATCCTTATTATTCTCATTTTATAGAGGACGAACAGAAGTCATATTCTGGATTTGCTGTTGTCAGGCCTTTTTGTTAACTAGATGAGGGGCATTGGGTGTTAATTCCAGTAGTTACCTATCTTGACATGTTAACATCTTCTTGTTACAGATATTTTGTAATTATTTTTTCCATTTAAAGGTATGTTTACTTGGAGAAGTTTATGACCTTTCAGATGTCTCTACGAAGAGAAGATGTGTGGCTTCCTCTCATGTCCTACAGAAACTCTTTATTAGCTGGTGGGGATGATGATACTATGTCAGTGATTAGTGGAATTAGTAGTCGAGGATCTACAGTAAGAAATAAGAAGACAAAGCCAGCAACAGGGAAACGGAAAGTACCTGAAGGTAGAACTTTTCTCATCTTAAAATTTACTAGAGTAGATATTCATCTAAACTACACATGTCGATTCCTATTTGTTAGCTTGAGTGAATTTGTATGCTTTAATGTATTTTTTTTAAAACAGGATAATTTCTGTGCATGTATATGTCTGAGTGGGAAAACTATTCATTTGAAGAGTCTGAATAACATTGATTCACAAAAGGAAATAAAGGCACTACGCTGCATTAAGTCACAGAATATAAAAGTATTTTAAATACTCTAGCCAGTGGTTATAAATCCAGGCCTTTAGGGGCACATGTAAGACTTTGTGGCAAAAAGTAAAGAAATTGGTTCTCAGTGAGCAGAAAGTACGTGCATTTAAGACATGTTTAAACATTCAATTTTAGACTAATTTGGAAAAAAATTTGCTGATATACTATGTTCCCTTCCAGCTGAAGAAAGCAGCAGTAGTGACAGTATGTGGCTGAACAGGGAGCAGACAATGCACACGCCAGTCATGATGCAGACACCTCAGCTTACTTCCACAATAATGAGGGAGCCCAAGAGATTGCGACCTGAAGAAAGTTATATGGGTGTCTATCCTATGCAGGCTGAACACCACCAAGCTCCACTCGATTACAAGTACGTAGATGAGTAGGTCTGCTTTGTGTTAGTGTTCATACACAAAACCAGTTCATGTTTAAAATAGAATAATGGTCTTTTTAAGCACGCAAGTAACGTGGATGTTGGCTCAAAGGCAACAGGAAGAAGCCGCGCGACAACAACAGGAGAGGGCAGCGATGAACTACGTCAAGCTGAGAACCAACTTGCAACACGCTATGTGAGTGAGAGTGAAATGTTCCTTCAGTGGTTTGGAGAGGGGAGGGTTTATTAAATGCAGTGTTACTCCTTTCTCTTTTAAGAGGGATACATGTTCTAGTTCTTGAGTAGTGTTTTTCTGTGTCTTAAAATTTCAAGTTGCCTTAGGAAAAAAGTGGTAAAAGTGCACGGTGATGCATTTAGCAGAATAGATCTGTTTGATTTCTTGCTTATTTTTGAACTTAAATTCCAGAAAAATTAAATAGTAGTGAGCTTTGTAATAAAGGGAACTGGTTGTTGAACTGAATGCTATCTGTGGCAGAGATACATAATCAATGCAACATGTGAAACATCTTCTTTGTGTATTCCTAACTGCAGAATCATTTTTAGAAATAGAACGTTAAAAATGAGTTTTAAAATAGGTGTTCAATGTGTGAAGCAGAAAGTTTCTGCTCAGTTTAATTTTCCTATTTCTTTCTCCTTTGACTTCTGAGTTGCAAGTTTAGAATTCAGCTGCTTTTTTATTTAAAAAAAAGTATTCCTTTTAAAGAAACTGCTGTCTTCAGCTTTTCTGTGGTTGATACAAATTTTGTCTGACCTAAACTGACACCAAAGTTGAGAGGAATCCTGTAGTACCAGGTTTTGTAGAACTTCCCAACCCAAACACACAAAAACATTGTGAAGTCCTCCATATTGTGAACAAAGATGAAGACAGTCTAATGTTTCTTAAATGAATGTTGTCCTTCAGAGGTCATAGATTCTACTGTAGCGTCATTTACCTCATTGTGATTCATCATGTGTGCGTTTTGACATGCACGCTAATGAAATTATGTTCCAGAGCTAGTTTAGCTGAGTAGAGGAAGACTAGTTTTAGAAGTTCTCTGCTCTAATGAAGACCGTGTGGTTCTACAGAAGAAAAATAAAAGTTGTAAACTAAAACCATGGACGTATATATTGCGGAGATTTAAATCTTTCCCCTAATTGTTTTTAATTCTTTAATACCAGTACTTCATGTAACATAGTTTCAGTGGTTTGTGGTTTTGTTTTTTTTTTTTTTAATACAGTGACACCAGTTAGTATAATTAGAATGACTCCTTACTTTTCTCATAAGGTCTGATAATGCATGTAGAAATTGCGAGGAAAGAGGGTGAAGGACTGTGTGGGAATGCCTGAAAAAGGATTTATGCATCCACTTTATCGCAAAGACGTTCTTCCTTGCTTTGTCATAAGGCAGGAACAATTTTTCTTTAGGTGGCAAAACTTACATTCTTTCTCACTTGACCATAAATACTCTCTGAATTAGAGAAATCTCTGAATTAGGTGTGGTTTTGATCTGCTTATCAATTCCTGCAGCCTCTCAGAATACCCATTTAGAGAAGTACCACAAAGTTCCAGAAGTTGATCTTTGTTAGTCGTTCTCCCTTACTCTCTTAGTATCTTCTAGCTGGTTAAATACCAGCTTTCTTTAATAGTTGTTATGCATTTATTTAATTACTTAATTTCTTTTCTGTCTAATGGAATAATCATTTGTTGGCAGTTCCTTACTGAACATAAGCTTTTTAAATATTCAGATAAAACTTAACTTGAATTAGTGCTAAATGCTATGCTTTTTCTTTTTATTTCAGTCGACGTGGCACAAGTCTAATGGAAGATGATGAAGAGCCAATTGTTGAAGATGTGATGATGTCATCAGAAGGGCGGATTGAAGATCTCAATGAAGGCATGGATTTTGACACCATGGACATAGACCTAGTAAGAAATTCACTTGTCTTTAGCGGATTTTGGATTTTTATTTCTGCGTTTAAAGTAGGATATTTGAATCAAATTTTCCTTTTGGTGAAACAGAAAAATCATTCTTGTTGATCTCTGCATTCTTAAATGGCTGTGCCACTATCTATATACAAGTGCCATCTGTTCAAACTGCCTTACAAAAATCAAGAACACTTCTGTAATAATGGGAGATATGAACATTTATCCCCTGTAAATTCTTACCCCTTGAAAGTTCAGCTTCATTTATTATAGTTTAAAAACTCTATTTTTTTTCTGAAATTACAGTTAACATGTTTATTTGCTTGCTTTCTAAAGCCACCATCAAAGAACAGAAGAGAAAGAATGGAACTAAAACCAGATTTCTTTGACCCCGCTTCAATCATGGATGAATCGGTAGGTTAACTTAATAAGAGGAAAATAATGTAAAATCAGTCTTAAAGTTACAATACTCTCTTACTTCAAATTTTAAATGGAAAGAACGCAATCTTTAGGTTGTCTTCATTAGCTTATTTTGGCAGACTGGTACAGTCAGTGAAATATTTTATGCTGTAATTCAGCTTCAGAAATTCTAAGGTAGTCAGTGTTCTTTGCAAGTTTGTAGGATTTTTGTTCTTAGTACTTTATATGTAGCTATGTAAAAATCAAAAGCCTTTGAATCTGAGAAGAAAACACATCTGATATGGAAAAGACCCTTGCAGAGGTTAGTAGCAGAGAGCTTTAAAAAAAAAAAAATTGTGCATACACAATATTAAAGGGAAGTTTCCTATTGTGATGAACTTAGTTGAGTGACTCTGATGTCATTACCAGATGTCAGCATTAGATAGTTTGTGTTGTTTTTTTGGTTTTTTGGGGGGCTTTTTGTTTGTGGGGTTTTTTTTTTTTTGTTTCGGTTTGGTTTTGGGTTTTTTGGGGGTTTTTTAAATTGGCATATTTACTTTTGTGCATAAGTAAGATAATGGAGAAAATAGAGATAATACAGAATCTGTTTATAGAGATGAGAGGTATTTTTTCTTTCCATATAAAGTTTTAGGTCCAAAACATCCGAAGTCTGTAGTTTCTGCTTGCAGTTGCCCTTTTTTCCGACTTGATAAATCTGCAGTCTCTATTCTCTTTTAAAAATCTGCATGAGGGATTCCTTCTGTCTTGAACCACTTGTAATGTATGCAGCCATTTTTGACCTTGTGTAGCTGGTACAAAATTACACTGGAAATAACAAGCTGCAGCAAGCCAGCAGAGGACAGTACAACAAGGCTTCCTGGGAATCTTGGACAGCTTGGTGGAATTTGGAAGACGGTTATGTATTTTTTTACAGCATTGTTGCAGCGTGAACCTGTTCTTGTTATGGGAGAAAGAAGTCTTAAATACTGTTTTAAATGCAAATCCATATATTTTGTACCAGTAGGCCTTTGCTTTAGTAGTAATGAATCAGATTAGGTTGTGCATCTAGCTATTGTGTGTTCTGTTCCTGAAGTAACACCAAGAAAGTATACCACTTGTTTTCTGACGTTCTGTTTTAAAATAGTTCTGCCCCTCCCCTTCTTGATTTTTAATTGATTGATCTGTGAAATACTAGCCATTTTTTATTCTGACAATGCTGAAAATTTGGTCTCCTACAGGTGCATTTCATTGATTTCAGAAACCTGTCAGCTTTTCAGTCTAAAACTAATTAAGAATAGTTTTAATAGGTTTCCTGTTAGCTAGGTTTCTTTTCTATTACTTCATTTCTCATTCCTCATCCCACGTGAGCCTGGGATTTGTTAGGCACTCCTTAGCTGCAGTGTGGGAGTATTGCCACATGATGGCAGCCGGTTACAGTCGCATTGCTCTGCAAGCTTTTGGAGCCTAGCCTCAGTGTGCCAGCAGGACAAGCTGTATGCTGTTCCTCTGCAAGGAGGGAGCAGTGGTGCGCTGAAGTGAGTTGGTACGGTCAAGGGGGCACCATCTAGCAGACCTTTCTCCCAGGCAGGACACAGCAAGGGTGGTGATCCTGGAAGCAGGACTGCAGAAAACAGCTGCATCACAGAACACAGCTGCTCTTTAGCATAAACCCCACCTAAATGAATTTAACTGCCTAAACTGTCTGCTAATAGTTTAGGAGACAACATGAATCCATATTAAATCAGAGCTGAATTTATCAGTCAGTATTTTAAATGTAAAAAACCCAATTTCATAAATGCAAAAAACCTTCTCTGAATAAAGTTAATTTGCTTTATTCATACAATTTATTTCAGAGGTCCATTATTCTTGGAGTTGTTGCACTTGTTTTTAATAGACCTAGACATAATAAAGCTGTTTAATTTATTCAGGTGCACATGGCTTATGATCAAAATTTTAGTCTGTCTTCTCATTTTTTGATGTGGCCAGTTATTGCTGGCACCAGAGGCAGTTGAGTCTTAGTGTGCTATATTGTGTGATGCATCTAAAGTGAATTTAATACCAAGAACAGTAAAAATTGGTTTGTAAACAGATAAATGTGTATAGCAGTGTTAAGGTTCAGGAAAATTAAGTCTCTCATGGCTCTTTCTGATTTTATAAAGTCCTATAAAAGCTAGGACAGTCACAAGATCCCGATCTTCTGGGGGTTTTTTTGGCATATCAGTGGTGATACCTACTTCCATTGGCATAGAAAACGATATGGCTTGTTCCCATGTGGGAAGTGGAAACTGATTCTTTGTTTCAGGAAAGTTTTTTCTTCACTTAATCACAGAGTCTCCTGAAGGACAGTATTTTGATTTTACCTGATTATTGTTTGATTTTTCACTGTCTTCCTGACAGAGTTGATATATTTGACAGGAAATACTAAGTTTGTGTCCTGGCTAGCTGCTGCGAGATGACCTGTTGTTTTTATGAACAGAGACACAGCAGCAGCCAGTGTATAGAGTGTTTTGTCCCAGGCTTAGTTGATGGAAACTACACACTTGATTTCAAGTTAAGGCCTATAGAATGCTGTTGTCAAAGAAGTCTAAGTTAGGCAACTGACTAAAAATTATTTTGCAATTATTACCTAAAATAATTAAAGCACAGTCTTTATCACATTCCTACTGGATCTAGTTAATTTTAAGTGTGGGAAAATACTTCTAATGAATGAGGTGCCCTTTTGATATTATTACATAAATCAGAAGTGTGGTGAATCTGGTTTGGAAGAACAATAAACTTACAATGCCTTAACATATCTTGAAGTGTCTTAATCTTAAATCCTATACTAATTGCTTTGTTTTTGTTAAATGTGTAGTAGACTACAAATTGACACCATTTCTAACTTTTTTTTTAGGTTCTTGGGGTGTCAATGTTTTAATACCAGAGCAGCAAATAAATCAGTGGTGAAGTCATTTTCTAAGTGGAAGAGGAAGTTTTTCAATACAAAATTGTGGTAGATACAGTGAAATTCTGAACAGATTTTTCTCTAAGGAGAATGACATGCTTTCAAGATCAAGTGCATTGAAGGGGCAGTTTTGTTTGCCTGAAAAAAAAGAAATGTAAAGGACAAGTAAACAATTTGAGGATAAGCTACACTTTTTGTTGGGGGAAAAAAAAAAAAATCAATATTTTATTTATGTGCTATCAGTTTATTTCCGGATCATAAGAAGTATTCCCTCTGAGTTTGAATATAACAGTCTGAGAGGTGTTTGGTACAGATTTGAGCCCCTCTCTATACATTTGCTGGCTATACTAAATAATCATGAGCTCTGCTGGATTGCTGTTTACATCCATGAACTGAAATACTAGATGGATTGGTTTTCTTACAGTGATAGAACCAGAAGAGTGTCAGTATTTTAAATTAAATGCAAACTTCAGCAACAGAAGGTTTGTATTAATTAATCATGGGAAAAAATACATAAAGCAGAATTTCAATAGCTTTTTAACCTAAACCACACTTTTGTTCCAAAAGCTTCATGCTAGCCTTCTCAGAAAGGTCCATAAACTATGAACTACCAGAAAGTAACAGATCTCAGTCATGCTTGCCCATTACCAACCCTGAAAGTTTGCTTGTCCTTTAAGAAAAATGTAATGTTGTGAAATTCCTTCCAGTAGTGCCACTGTATTTTGTCTCCAAATAAAAGAAGCTTATTGTAGTATGTTTGCAGAAAAATTCTAAACAAAAATTATACAGCTTATTAGAGTGTGGGAATAGGGATCTAAATTTTAAATAAAAT